AAGCGGCGCGCGCCGGCGTGGTGCGACCGCATCCTGTGGCGCGGTGCGGGGCTCAGGCAGACCCGGTACGGTCGCTGCGAGTCCCGGCTGTCGGACCACCGCCCCGTCCGCGCCATCTTCACGGTGGAGGTGGACGCGCCCAGGAACCTCAACTCGCTCAGGAGCTTCTTCATGTCCGAGGGGTTCGACAGGGCTGGCAGCAGGAGCCCCGGCGCCGCCGACCAGCTGCTCCGCAAGGACGACGTCGTTAACAGTGCCAGATTCGGCGACACTCTTTGAGACATGCGTGCATGCGAGGCTGGAATCGTCAGTCCACTTCTCCGATTGCGATTGTACACAGGCAAAAGCTAAGAGAGACGACAGTCAAAAAAAAAAAGAGAGACGACAGTAAAAAAAAAAACTTGTTGCCGAATCTAAGGGTGTTGGGTATAACTCCACCTCCACCTATATCTCACTTCCACCTGGACCTCACGCGTCAGGGGGCAAGATAAAAAACTAAAAAAAATCGGTCTTTCTTCTTCCTGCCGAATCGCGCAAGAGGAGAGGCGGACGCGGACCATGCGGGCGCGGATCCTGCGGGCGCGGCACCGGTAGACGCGGCCGGCGGCCGGCGAAGCTCACAGTCGGCTTCCTCACGCGCACGGTCAGCTTAGCAACGCCGCGACCGGGGGAGCTCGCAGTCGGGGTCGGGGCGGCGCTCGCGGCCTCCAGAGCTCGTGCGTCCGACCATGGCACGTGGCATGGGAGCTCGCAAGCCCCCACGGGCGGGGCTCCGGCCGGCCATGGCGCGGCCTGGGGAGCGCGCGGGCGGGTGCGGCGAGGCCGACGGAGGTCGCGACAGGGTCGCGCAGGGCCGACGGAGGTCTCCGGCGAGCCGCAGGCGGGGCTCCGGCGACGCGCAGGCGCTGGATGCGGGAGGGGAAGGGCGGTCACGACGGCGAAGAAGCCAAACAGAACGAATCGAATCATTATTATTATTTTTTAACCATGGCAGTCGTGGTTAATTTTTCCCAACTCCATCAAAGATGGATTTGGTGGAAGCATCCTTGAACTGCTCTAATAATTTGGTGAATCTGAAGGTAGATCCACTAAATTAGTGGATCAGATTCACTAGTGGAGCTGGTGGAGCTGAAGGTGTTTGGCAAACTTGGTTAGCTGAATTTGGTGGATCTAGAGCTGGTGGAGCTATCCTAAGCAGTCCCATTGCGTGAATCATGTACCATACCAGGAGTCCCGTTTCAGATGTTGCATAGTTTGATTAAAGGCCCGTTTAGTTTCCCCCAAAATCTAAATTTTTTTGCGCAGTACTCGTCACGTCGAATCTTGCAGTACATGCATGGAGTACTAAATGTAGACGAAAAAAAAACTAATTGCACAGTTGGATGAGAAATCACGAGACGAAACTTTCGAACCTAATTAGTCCATAATTAGACACTAATTGTCAAATAAAAACGAAAATGCTACAATACCCCAAACCCAAAAATTTTTGGATCTAAACACGCCCTAAGTATGAAGCCGGTCCTAAAACAATGGTTTGGTTTGGCAGTAATTGACACAGTCGGATCAAACGGATCTTTGCACAGTTATTGGCGTAGGTGCCACGCTAAGATTGATGTTCGATGGTGTCATAATCTATTTTTTTGTGGAATATGAAAAAAAAAGGGAATAGATGAACTTTTCGGAACAAGAGTATGCTACTAAAGCAAGCGACCCTCTTATGCAAGGAAGAAGTGGAGCAATACTTGTCGGCGACAAGATCCTACGTGCAAACCAATCGGTCACAGCAGTAGTAGACCTCGTCTCTTTTCTTCTGATTTATTGTCTCCTGTTCTCTTTTCATTCAGGTTTTTTCTATCCACTTCGGGTGGTGTACAGAGTAGGGTGGCTGGCCTACGAGACAAAGTGGTGGCGACTGGCGAGCATAGGCTCGTCCTTGTAGTTCTGTACTAACATTTTTTTTTCTATTTTCCCTGTCTGATAAAAATCTGGCAAAAACCTTTGCTGCCTATCGAAGGAAAAAATGAAGCTGGTCAGTGATCCCTGAAGATTCTCTCCAGTACCAAGAGTAATTATACGCCAAGATATTTATTTAAGGAAACAGCTAACTCAATTGTGTTGGACTATTACGGCGTTCCCACTCGTTGACTCCACGAAGGTCTTAGCGAGCTGCGAGCGGCAAAAAGAAATGACCAAATAATATTACATCATGGATCACCTAACACCTGCTGAATCAGATTCATATGGGTCCAGTCGTCATACTCGAGAGAAACAGCGAAATCATTGGATCGCTAAGAACAGTGCGCCGATCGATGGCATACATAAGAACAAGATAAGGTTTCCAAATTACGTTCAATAATAGTTAAAGTTCATTCAGTGCAAAAAGACTTTCTCACTGATGAAAATTGTGTCTCTAACCCCTCTAACAATGACATCAGCGCACCAGCTCACAGAAAGCACCTAATGAACAAGTTGCCTCCTTTTTTTTTATCCTTCTGAAAGCTCCATTAATCCATGTTTTAGACGGACTCCAACGAGGAACCCGTACGGGTACCCAAACCCAAAATAGATAGGCCCTGTTCGTTGGTCTAAAATTTGGCTGAAAAACACTGTTCTGGCTGGTTTGTTGTGAGAGAAAAATATTATTCGGCTGTTTGGTGAACAGTAACGCATGAGGGGGAGCAGCCGGCTGGCTGGTCTCTTCCAGACCAGCGAACGGCCCCATAGTAAGAGACCTAAAATCAGCATTCAACGAAGTATCTATACGGAAGACCTATTTTGGGTTGCCTAAGAGTACACAACCCAAATATGGGCATCCTCTCTCCTGAAAACCCATTTGCAGAAATGATTCTCTTTTTGGTCTGGTTGTTGAAGAAGATGCCGAATATGTATTGAACCTTTTACCTGTAGCGCTACCCAAAAAACGAATGGATCTTATATTTTGAGTGTTGTTGTTGGAGATAGCCTTAGCTCCTATCACGTTGTAGAGCTAGCGTTGCAGAAGACAAATACCGTCTTTCATCCACCATGACATAAGGCAAAGTCAGTCGGCGCATAATTTTGCAGGAGACGATAACACTTCTATCAGATGATGCAAGTTGCTTATTGGTGTCAAGAATGGCAAGTTGTTGGTAGCCCCTGCCTATCTTCAAATGAGCTGTGTCAGGTCAGGTCAACCCCTCCACAACCACTTACCATGCTGAGGTAGCAAGGGGAAGAACACTCCTGGTGAGACAGGAATTGGTCTAGACTCTAGAGTGATCTGTGTTCTTCCTTGCCTGCTTGCTGGAGAAATATCTTTATCGCAGCCATACCATACATACAACTGGTCCACTGTTGCAAGATCCGGACACAAGCTAGAAAACACATGCAAATTTTCCGAATTCGGGTTCAAATCTTTGGTCGCCGCAGCTTGGTAGGGCAACTTTGGTGGAGTTTGCATTGGCCTGATTGAGAGACATGCAACTGTGGCCATCACCACAAATGGTATGCACATGTGGCGGCTACAGGTCGTTTCCTTAGTGGCATCAACATGTCATGGTCCTACTCCAGCAATCATGCACTGTACGGAGTATAGCAGTGTAGGATAGGTTACTTTGGCTGGCCTGGCCATCACACTGCTGCGCATAGCTTTTTCTCTATGAAGCTGTATGTTCTGGTAGCCGGTAGATGGATCTTCAAGCCGTCAACCATTGACCTCGCACTAATATACTGTATGCGTCGTCGTTCTTGGTCAGGAATATCTTGCAGTCGGATGAGTTCCAGAATGTGCCGATCAGGAACACTTGGAACATGGCTGCAACAACAGTAACCTACTCCTATCTGTCAACTTCTGAAAAACAGGGGCAACCTTTCAGCAAACCAGTAGGAGTACGTGAGTCCTTTGTGTATGATTGGTGACTCAGGGGTAACCTTTCAGCAAATCAGTACGCTCCCCAAAACAGCCGGAGCATACGTAGCATGATCACAGTTCACAAGTCAGCAAGTGATAACACCAGAAAACCGCCTGCCACTGAATTCGGGGCAAGTGTCAAAAGACTGGAAGTGGGCAAAGTAAGCACAAGTACGTGGCAGAGATTTCCTGCTCCAGCCTTATTATCCCCCGATTCCTGCAGTGCAGGGGCACCGCCACGCCGGAGGTAGAACGCGAACGGCGTCGTCGGCGCGGCGCTTTCGGACGGATGGGCAGTCGGCAGGGCACGGACGGTCTCCATTCGTTCTGCCTGCGCACGGAAACTCCTTGGACAAGACGAGACCCGCGCGTTCTCGGGCCGTGCCCAGCGCGGTGTGCGGTGTGCGGTGTGCCGGCCCACCCACCAGCCCGTGCGGCATGTCGCAGCCGCGCCCCGCACATTGCACGGTCCTCGTCAAAACGCACGTTTCATGCCCTGCTGCCGGCGGCGGCGGGGGGCCAACACCTCGGGAAACAGGGCGCGGCCATGCGGCCTGATCCGGCATGGCCGTTCGTGCCGTGCCCATCCCCACGCGGCCACGCCCGCCTCAATGGCTCGCTCTATAGTTCACCCGCACGGCTGCCTCCATCTGCCCTCGATCGCGAATTGAGACGTACGAAATGCTTAATAAACACCGTGATGCGCGGCCGCTCAAACGTACTGATGCAGCATCCATAGGCGTACTGACCACGCCGTCAATCGAGCAAGCAAAACGAAACCAGCAACGGTGGCAATAGTTTCACTTCCACTCCAGTCAATTCCTTCATGCATCCTTTCAGGCCACGCTACAGGAACGTGACGCCGGCGAGGAAGCGGAGGCTGTCCCCGCACAGGCCACGGCTGCCGCTGCCGCCGCCGCCGCCGCGCCTCCTCGCCGTGGCCATCGCCTTCACCTTTGCTCTCCTCTTCTTGGTCCTCGTGCTTCTCCCCACCTCCCCTCCCTCGCCACCGTCCCACAACGCCGTCGTCGCAAGATCATCCTCGTCCTCGGCACCGCCGTCGCCTCGCTGTAGCAGCGCGGCGGCGAGCCTCGGGGAGCTCGGCGACGCGATGGTGTCCATGCTGCCAAAGGACCTCCCGTTCACCGTCTTCGTGCCCTCGGCGGACTCTTTCAGCCGCGTCCTCAGGCTGCAGGGGTCGTCGTCCAACGCCAGCGCTGCCGCCGCCGCTGGAGGGGAAGCGGCGGCCAACGACACCGACGGCAACACCTACGCCATCCTCTCCCGCGTGCTCGGCTTCTCCGCGGTCCCTCGGCGCCTGCTCGCCGCGGACGTGCCGCCGCCGCCGGGCGGGGCCGGCGCGGTGCGCCTCCTGGACTCCGTGTCCGGGCTGAGGCTCTACGCGTCCAGGGACGCCCGCGGGGCGCTCGTCGTCAACGGCGTGCGGTCGGAGTGCGTCGATATTGTTAGGGGCGAGACCGTGGTGCATGTCATGGCTGGTGTCCTCATGGACGCCGAATTTGAGCGTTCTTTCTCTGCGGAATTTGACGGTTGATCAAGTTGATCAACCCTTTGACTTGAGTTGACATGGCTCGTTTCTTCATTCTGGAGAGGAATTGCACGACAATGCACAATGCATCTGCAGATTTTTAGGTAGCGGTAAAAACATGTTGTGACTTCGACCTCCGATGAAGTTAGATGGATTTTGAACTCCATTTGAAGAAAAAAGTTAGCACTACCACAAAGGGGAAAAAAAGAGAAATCTTTAAACAAAAGAATAACAACAAAAAAGTTTCATTGGATCAAAAAAAAGTCTATACATTCCAAGCATCTATTTACCTATTATTATTATTATGACCATGCAACTCTTCTTCAATGGTGGAGTAGTTTTTTTTTCTTCTTTGGATTCACGAGCAGCTTCATTGGTAGAGTCGCTGTTTTGAAAAAAAAATTGTTTGATAAAACAACGTCTTATACTAGATAGGGGAGATAGCGCTGCAAAAATTGTATTTTTAGCTCCATCCGACATCTCACTTTATGTGACAGCGGGTTTTAAAGACCTCCACTTGAGAAGCTATTCTATTTTAACCTGTTTGAAAAAACAACTCGAAATAACTTTTGAAGTTGCGGGAGAAACTACGCCAAATAGAACCATATCCGACTTTAAGAGGGTCTAGAAAAGGCCTGATTTTAAATGGATGGATATACATCAGTGCTAAAGGAAGCCGAAAAATTAACCAAAAAATATAGTATGTCAACTTGACTTCTTATGTATCTGATTTTTTGGAAGCCATGTGTCGATGTTTCGTACAAGCACCGGCAAATAAATTTATAGTAATGCGCGTTAGGCTCGGATGGTGCGCTAAAGGACACAAGATTTATACTGGTTCGGGCTGAATATCCCTACGTCCAGTTTGTTGCTGCTCGTGTTATTAGCACCGTGAATGGTTCGTAGTAGGGGATACAAACGATCGAGAGAGGGACAGGTCCCAAGTCTCTATGGAAGGGTCGAAAGGAAGCCAAGAGTTTGGTAGCAGCTTGACTATGTGTGTCTCTTGCGTTGTTTTTCGCCCCCCCCCCCAGCTGGAGGAAGCGCATCCCCTTTTATAGATGAAGGGGACGGCTTTACAAGGGTCAGGACTTAGGATCCGTGCTCTACCTAGCCTTGTGGCTCACTTCTACCCAGCCTCCTTACCCATTCTGATGGGTGCGAAAGGAAGATAAGCGCCTGCCTACAATATTGTCGATGCTTCAGAGAATGTCGATGGTTACAGAATAGTGCCTCTAGCAGGTATGGGGTCGGAGGAGTATGTGGTTTTGACTTATGAACCTCGCCCAGCCTTGCTCCGCACGCCTTCTGGCTCTATGAGTCTCTGTCGGAGGGACGCGGAGTCGAGGTCCGGAGTAGCGCTGTGGGCAAGGTCCTTTGATTTGGTGGACCCGAGGGGTCGGGAAGCGGGCGCCGCTCCCTTGGGTCCATAATGTGGTGACGGCATGTCCGCCATTCGTGGAGATCATAAATCCTTTTCTGGAGTATAGTGGTTGTCGTGTATCTTCATCGGGTCCCGTGTCCCAGAGCTAAAGGCGGCGCCTACAACTCTACAGGGCGAGGAGTACGCGCCTGCAATACCTTTTGGGCTCTGTGGCGCCCGAGAGGGTCTAAAGCACCTGTCCAGTCGTTCCCTAGCAGTACCTTTCCTACCGGGGCGCAGGGTATGGTCCTTGAAGCCGTGGTTGACCCGAACGTCTTGTCTTGCACTGTACCCATCATCATGAGGGAACATGAGAGAAGTTATCAGGTAAGATAAAACTAGCCTTTGGACATCGAACGGGGCGAGGTTCGTCCTCGATCGTCGGGCGAGGCGGAGCCTAGTTCTTATCCCTTGGGCGTGACCGAACCCACCCCTCGGGGGTCGGGCGAGGCGGAGTGTATCCCTCAGCCCTCGGGCGAGGCAGAGACTAGCCTTCAGCCCTCGGTTGAGGCAGAGCTGTCCTGAAGGCGTCGGGTGGAACGGAGGCCAGCCCTTTGCCCTCGGGCGAGGCGGGGCTGGCCCAAAGGTGTCGGTCGAGACGGAGGCTAGCCCTTTTCCCTCGGGCGAGGCGAGGCTGGCCCAAAGGCGTCGGGCGAGACGGAGGCCTGCCCTTTGCCCTCGGGGCCCTTTGCCCTCGGGTGAGGCGGGGTTGGTCCAAAGGCGTCGGGCGAGACGGAGGCCAGCCCTTTGCCCTCCCGGGCGGGCGTGGCTGGCCCTCAAGGCGTCAAGGCGAGACGAAAACCTAACTTTCATCATTCGGGCAAGGAACGCAGCGCGCTTTTGTCCGCCCGTAAGTTTTTAACGCTCGATGGTTATTGGTTCCACCTTCCGGGTACCTCGGTATTAGGTCCCCGACAAGAGCCCCGAGCCTCCGTGTGATTCGGATAGAAGAACCGCCTGGAGGGTGTTTTTTTTTGATTTTGTCGAGTTATTTTGCCGAGGGTGCGCGCGCGAGCGCACTGGCGGGGTAGCCCCCGAGCCTCCGTGTGATTCGGATAGAACCGCCTAGGGGTTGTATCGGACCCTTCATGGTAAGGTCAAGGACTTGGTTTTTTCATCAATCGGATATTTTTTGAGGGGTCGTGGTATCCCGCTCATGGGGATCTCATTCGTGGCTGACCTAACTGGGCTTGACCATGGATCGAGACCCCAAGAATGCTCGCCCTTGATTTCGGATCATTTCGTGGACCCACCCTCAGTTGGGCCGACCGCCGAGCTTCTAGGCCCTAGGTGGGCCAAATAGAAAAAATCTTTGTGACCTGCCTTCCCTAGGTGGGAAGAGAGTCCGGATTTGCCTAGGGAAGGCGAACCATCCACCATAATTCTCGATGGGAAAGGATAGGGACTACGGGCGCGTGTCCCGCGACGTGACGCGGGCGCGCGCGTGGCGCCCCAAAGATCGAGGCGACGGTTGCCCTTCTCGCCTGCGTCACCCCTATAAAACCACGGGGTTCGCCCCCAAGGTTCCGTGATTTCGCCCCTTGCCTTTAAGCTCGAGCCATCCGCCGCCAATCGCCTCACCTCCTCACGCTCGCAGACCACCACCGCCGACCGGCTTATGTCTGTGTTGCACCGCCCGCTTTGCGCCGTCTCTGTAGCCACCCACCGAGCTTGCGCCCACCTTCTCCCCAATCGCTTTAATGGAGTTGTGGGGCAGATCTAGCATCACCTCTCGGCGTTTGGAGGGCCTCGTCCGCCGTGGCCTTCTCCGTCCATTGTCCACCGTCTAGGAGTGGCTGATACCTGGTGATGAGGGTGAGCCGGCGCCGTCCGAAGGGTATGTCGTATCTTTCGCCATCTTTCATGAGCGGGGATTTGTAGTACCTACGCATAGATTCCTTCGGGGCTCTGGATTACTATGAGGTGGAGCTGCAAAGATCTTACTCCCAACGGGGGTTCAACATATGGCGGCGCTTTGTTGCCCTGTGTGAGGGTTTCCGGGATCGATCCCCATTTTGATTTGTGGCGGTATTTCTTTACCGCCGCTTTGTCGAAGAGGAAGATTGGGGGAAGGATGTGAGCGCGCCGATGGGATGCGCCAAAGTTCATCTGCGCCATACCCGGCCGAGGGGTTACCTGCTCATGCGTCTCGGCGACGCCTAACAAGGGATGGCACTCGTAGTGGTTTTATGTCGTGGATGATGTGAGTGCCACCGCCGAGGTACACCGGGCCTTATCGAAGAGGCTCCGGGGTCATGGGCCTGGGCGCCCAAATCCAAAGACAAGAAAGCACCTTTTCCGACCTTCTTTCCGCTCTCAAGCTCAAGGAACGGGCGAAAGGAGACGGGAATTATCGGTGCCTATCATGCGAGGAGGGTGGCGCCACGATGATGATGCGCGACGCTTCCCCACACCGGATGATGCCCGGATATCGCTCGAGGGGACGGTGCTTGTTGATTTAGGCCGCCCCTTCTCGGAAGTGGCGCAAAGAGATAAAGGAGGCGACGGAGCCGACGAAGGATTCCAAAGGCGGCGTCCTCTACATTGTGTATCCGGTGCTCGGACATCCCCCAATGCGCCCAGAACCTGGGTTCTTCGAATTTGTAAGCCTTCTTCTCCCGTGCTCTTTCTTTTTCTTGAATCTTCATCTTTTTTGATACTTGCTTTTGCGACATTGGGACCAGCCGGGGGGCTAGTCTTCAAAGATAGTCCGGTTCCGCCGCCAAAGGACAAGGCCGTGGCGATGGCGAATCGCCTCGCGGCTGAGCGGGACAAGAAGGCAAGGGAGCAGATGAAGAAGGAGAGACGACTGAAGCAGGAAGCACGGGATCGGGGAGAGGACGTGAGCAGTGATGATGACGACGACGACGATGATGATGACGATGAGGTAGTTGTCGACGTGGATTGGGGCGTCCTGGAGGACGAGGACACGCTGACAAGTGCCCACCCATCCGTGCAGGGACCCTTCCCATTCCACGCGGAGGGAAGTGAGTCGGTGAGGTCGGTGGAGGCCGGAGAGTCCGCCGCTTCGCACGGCATGCCGGCCGAGGATCGGTGGATGGGGGAAAGCGGGTCTGCCGCCGCCGACCGTGAGGTGATGGTCGAGAGGGGCGGTGCTGGTGCTGCGCCCCATGAGATGATGGAGGGGAGCGGCTGGTGCCGCGCCCCACGAGGTGATGGAGATGAGCCCCCTGCCTCGGAGCAGGGGGCAGGCTCGAAACGGTCCCGCCTAGACGAGTCGGGGCAGAGATCTGGGATCCGTCCCCAAAACGCTTCCGTCGGCCGAGGGCATCAACGTAAGCTGATGATTCCCCTGTTTTCATCCTTTTCCATTTCTATTTTGACCTAATGGCTATTACCTTTGTGTAGGTTCTTGCAGATGGGTCACCCCTTGGGGCTGGCGCCCAAAAAGAGCCTCGCCATTCAAAGGGATGGATGGCGCCGCCTCGGCGCCACCCCCTATTTTTGGGCAGGAGCGGTGCCAATGTTGGGGCTACGCTGGCCGATCTGACGGCGCCTGTGGTGGCGCCCGCGCCCTCGGTGGTTGCCGAGCAGAGCTAGGCTCAACCGGACGCCACCACCA